TGCGAGCTCATGTTTTATGCCCAACATTAGTCACAGCAGCATATGGTCGCCGCTATTGTGCGCCGCTCTCCTTAGCCTACACACCTCTCCACCGCTACGGTTCTGCTCCGTTCCTGAATCTGTGTCTCTTTCGTTGCCCCTTCCTCCGCATGGAGGTTTGCTAATTCTCTCTCGCCATGAATAATTTCTTCATCAGTTTTCTCGCTGTAATTTTGTGTTTGATTGTATCTGCTCAAATACATGATGATTCCACGGATTCGATTTGTCTGGAGACTTTGGAATTTGATCCAGTTTCGCTAGCAGCGGTATCAATTTTGCATTTATTGCTTGTGCCTAAGATCAGTTTGCCACTCTTTGTATTGCCTGATTGATTGTATAATCTTACTTCTTAGCTTGGTCTTGCGAGTCATTAATATACCATCATCTCTTACCAATTCCAGACTGGAACTGGCTCGACCGGGAAGAAAGCAATGGTTGATAATTTGAAGCGTTTCGGTGTGATATCATCGAAGCGAGTAGCTCAAGTTATGGAGGCATTGGATAGAGGTCTCTTTGTACCAGTCGGATCTCCAGCTTATGCTGACACTCCCATCCCCATTGGTTACAATGCCACCATTTCCGCTCCGCATATGCACGCCACGTGCCTCCAACTCCTGGAAGATAAGCTCCAGCCTGGGATGCGCGCTTTGGATGTTGGCTCAGGTTCAGGGATATGTTTATCTCATGCGAGTCTACTGCTTTCAGGGATAAACATGTTTTATCTTCTTTGTAGGAACCGGGTACTTGGCTGGCTGTTTTGCTCTCATGGTTGGAGCTGAGGGCCGCGTTGTTGGAGTGGAGCATATCCCTCAACTGGTTGATATGTCTATCAAGAATATTGAAAAGAGTGTCGCTGCTTCCTTGCTCAAGAAAGGTTCTCTCTCCCTACATGTTGGTGGTAGGTACATACTGAAGATGACAACTATCTCTTACAATTTGTTTAGCAAAATCATCTGTTAATTCATTTGCATCTATGGCAGATGGAAGAAAAGGTTGGGAAGAGTTTGCGCCATATGATGCGATACACGTAGGAGCAGCTGCATCAGAAATCCCTCAGCCCCTTTTGGACCAGTTAAAACCCGGTGGGCGAATGGTGATTCCAGTAGGAACCTATTTTCAAGAGCTCAAGGTAGTTGATAAAAGCGAGGATGGTTCCATCAAGGTACATACCGAAACATCAGTGAGGTATGTACCCCTCACCAGCCGCGACGAACAGTTGGGAGGATTTTGAAAAGAACAAAACTCTGTTTCCCACGTTTAGGTGTAAATATGTATACAGGTTGTGTATGTTTTGTAGTATTTATGCTTCTATGGGTAATAAAGAAAAGATGTTTATGAAATCTTTGGTTGCACATAATCCACATACTGAAATTGCAAGTAAGAACAATATTAGGAATAAAATTACTTGGAAGTGTCCAAACAGTAAATCTTATCTAAGGAAACTGAAAGCAATGACAAAGATTAAGGTTTCAAAATCCACGCCTTGGTCGTTCCTCAGCTATGTTCACTCTAATTGCTCTTCCTTCCAAATTCTGCAAACACAAAGAGCAATAAAAGAAAAGAAAGTGAAATGTCACAAAGTTTGAACTAACAAGCAGAGAAGCAGAAAACTCATGGATGAAGGTTTTTCTTTACCTGCCCATCAAGAGCAGCAATGGCGGCATTAACTTCAGCCTCGTTTGACATTGTAACAAACCCAAACCCACGCGAACGACCTGTCTCTCTGTCGTAAACCACTCGAGCTTCATCTACTTTCCCGTGCTCACTGAACACTTGTTCTAGACGGCCATTGTCCACATCCCATGGCAGATTCCCAACATAGATCCTAAACGCAGCTTCATATAAACGAGGTTGGCGTTCCGGCCTTGACCCTCTAGGAGCTGCTCTGTTTACTGTCAAAAGCCTCCCATTCACTTCCTGAATTAGTCATCAAACAAACCTGTCAACTTCAAAACATGTTAATTATTATCTAAATAGCTCAGAGTTGAGAAACAAGAAGAAGATTACATAGCGGTTAAACTTTTCCACAGCTTTCTCTGCTTCCTCAACGGTACTCATTGTTACAAACCCGAATCCACGACTTTGGTCAGTGTCCCTATTGTATATAACCTGCAAAATCAGATTCCATAGCAGAGTTCAACAACCAAACACCATGAAACAAGATATAATACTCCTTTCGTGTTATTAGCCGACGAAACTATGAATTCAAGAACCTAAACCCTGAATCAAAAACTAGCAATGCTGCAGAAGCCATTAGTTCCACTATGCTCAACAAAGCACACACACCATGAAACAAAATCCTTGCTCTCAAGTAAACTTGAGCAAACGACAGAACACATCAAGTAAATAAACAAATCATTCCTTGAATCTAAGACCACCTTGAAGAAGTAGCAAATGCCATAGAAGCCATTAGTTACAAAGTAGAAAGTAAGAAGAAATGACCTCTGAAATCTCGACTGTTCCGGCTTGCTCAAAGAGCATAGCCAAGGCTTGGCTATCAACGTCGTACGGCAAGTTCCCGACGAACAATTTAGCCTCTTCCGGTGGGTCTGGGAATTCGGCACCGTCTTCTTCGGTTCCACTCGTGTCTTCTTCGCCATCCCACAACTTGGCTTCCGGCTCCAAGCTCTCCTCGTTATCCTCGACGGCGACGGAAGCACCTCCTCCGATGCTCCCCTCCACACCTTCTTCCTCTGCCCAATCCGATGTCTGGGAAACAAAAGTAACAACTGGAGATAAATTACGGTAAGTTCTGGATTTGAGAGAGAGAGGGAGATTAATGGGTCGTGTAGAGAAGGAGGAACAACTGGAGCGGAGAGGTTTAGAGGAAGTGATGTTGAAGATGAAAGGAAGACAAAAAAGGGTCGAGGATGAAGAAGCTGCCATAGCTAATGGCTTTAGGCTTGAGGTTACTATTGAACAAGTCATTTCTGATTAC